TGTACAACCATGTCACATCCCCAACGCGATTCAGGACAGGAAACAAACCGGCCATCTTGGACCTCGTTTTCACCAATGAGGAACTGATGATTGACGTAGTAACCACATCCACTCCCTTGGGCCGCAACGATCATGCGACACTATTGTTCCAATACTTGTGTTATACAGATTATCCTAATGAAAGCAACGTGGAATCTTACGTCGTAACCAACTACGATAACCTGGCAGAACTCATTAATGCTACGAGCTGGTCTTTCTTAACTGAGTGGTCCCCAGAAGTGGCATGCGGGAAATTTGTCAACAAATTCAACACGCTCGTAGCATTGGCATCTAAAACCAAAATCTCCCGACCCGACAAGGCGAAGTCGTTTCTCAGAAGCAGGACCCGGAAATGCATGGGATTGAGGCATCTGGCATGGCGCGCCCATATAGCCTCTCCGAGCGAGGATACTTGGAACACCTATATTACACGAAGAAACCACTGTGTCACACTCGTCAGGGAGGATAAGGTAAAGAGCCAACAAGATCTTGTGTCAAAGTTCTGCGTTAACCCAAAGCTACTATACAGACACATAAATAAGCTTCGCCGCGTTAAGCGCGAAATTCCGGCTCTGCGCACAGCTTTCGGATTAGCACATACGGCACAGGATGTGGTGAACGTCCTAGGACAACACTTCGGCCGCACGTTCCAGTGTGTGCAAACATCCTGCACCATATCTAGGCAACTTATTCCGCCATCAGGCCTTAACCACATTTCCTTCACAACTGCAGCTGTATTGAAGCGGTTGATGTCGTTGCGCGAATTTAGCTCCCCGGGTGCGGACGGCATTCGGCCGAAAGCGCTGAAAGTTTTCGCCACGAGCTTAGCTGAACATTTGGCGACACTCTTTCAGCGATGCCTTAACGAGATGCACGTCCCAACGATGTGGAAGCACGGGATCATCACTCCAATCCACAAAAATGGTAGCCGTGCAGATCCAACTAATTATCGTCCGATTACCCTTCTTCCGGTAATCTCCAAGATCATGGAGTCCATTGTAGCCGAGGCCCTCATGGAGTACCTGGAGGAAAACAACATCATCGTTCCGGAGCAGCACGGATTTCGCCAAGGCAGGTCCTGCACAACTAATTTGCTGATTGCTCGTTCAAACTGGACAGAGTTTGTGGACGCCGAAGTCGGAGTGGATGTAGCCTACTTGGACTTCTCTAAGGCATTCGACCGACTGGACCATCGGATTTTACTGAACAAGCTGCAGCATTGTGGTATCGGCAATCCTATTCTAGGATGGATAGGCGAATTTCTCGTTCAACGTCACCTGAATGTGAGAGTCCGAAATATCCTGTCGGAACCAATCGAAGTTCAGTGTGGCGTACCTCAGGGCTCGGTACTCGGGCCTCGCTTGTTCATTGTTTTCATAAATGATCTTGCAGCTGCACTATCTTCCAACTTTCTGCTGTTTGCAGATGGCCTAAAGATATGGCGTGCCATAGCTTCAGGAGAGGATCACACAGCCTTGCAGGATGATTTGGACAAAGCATACAAGTGGTCAAACGAGAACATGCTACAGTTCAACACCACAAAGTGCAAAATCTTGAGCATACGCCATCAGAGTGCGTATAACTACCGCTTAGGACCTGACATTCTACAGCGGACCTCTCATGAATGCGATCTTGGCGTGCTTGTACAAGAAGATCTTGGGTGCTTAATGCAGACCGAAAAGGCCTCCAAGAGAGCAACCAAACACTTTGGCCTTCTGCGTAGAGCGTTTGGGAAGTTTGACGCCTCAATCTTTCCGAAAATGCTAAGCGCTTTTGTTAGACCGCACACAGAATACGCTATTCAAGCGTGGCAACCATGGCAGAAGTGCCACCTCACTGCAGTCGATACTGCACAACGCAGAGCGACAAAATACGTCAAAGGTCTTTCCAGCCTTCCCTACCCACTCAGGCTGAAAACTCTTAACTTATACAGTGGACGTTACCGTCGTTTGAGAGGCGATCTCATATTGGTGTACCGGATACTGAGAACCCCCAACCACACGTGTCATTCCCTTTTGAAACGTAGTCAAAACGCATCGCTAAGAGGTCATCAGTTTATGTTGATCACACAGTACAGTCGACTGGAATGTCGACGCAATTTCTTCTCCCTCCGAGTGTCACAACCTTGGAACGCCCTTCCAGAACATGTAATTAACGCTCCCACCCTATCCCTTTTCAAAAAACGCCTTGACGAAACTCTGACACGATTGCACTATATGATATAACGGGCGACCATCGGATGATGGTATTAGTGAACAACGAACGTGGACGGAATCCACTTAAAATTCCTATTGGATTACTTGTTTTTGTGCATCTCCAATCCCTTGGTGAGTCATGCATTTCACACGTACTTTCATCGATACGATTTTTTAATTTTACGATGTTAATTCTCATCATCCTACGGGACCTGTCAAGCATTGCTTTTATACCCGTCATAAACCATTGTTCCATTGTTCCATATGAGCAAGTGCAAGTTTCACCGTCATTTATCTTCCATGTTGTAGGTGCTTTAAATATGAGATAACAGTTAAAAACCGGCCGACAAAACTCGGATCCAGTAAACTGTATATTATCTCTCTGTTTTTATCCCCAGCGTTATTATCCGCTTTGATATGCAATTTTTCCACCTGTGCTCGACGCTATATAAAATATGGATATACCCGACCGTGTCGATCTCGGCATGTTTCGCATGGTCGAGTATACATACCTATATTTGTACTTGCAGTCGCAGTGGCGCGCAGCTTAAGGTTTGGCTTTCATTGTGCTAACGAATTTCATACATCTACGAAAGCAACGGCGGCCCTTCCGAGGCATTATTTTGCTCGATTTAAGCGGAGCTTGGAGACATATTCTTTTGCAATGCTTCAACCCAATACGCAAATTAGCTGTTTGGATTAGGTGCCTTATGTCCAAGAACACATAAGCCGTTCTCGTTTTCTAAACTTGGATGATTTTCACTATCCTCCAATGTTTTTGCTTGAGATTAAAGATATCCTCGGACATTGAGTAGTCGAACAAGTGCTTGCGGCAACTATACTCGGCACGAGAACAGCATAGTAAATCTGTCATTTGACGACCACCTAAGACTGGATCTGATATCAACCAGCTGTGAACAACGTGTGTATATTGTCTATCTGCTAGAGCCACTGGCGTTTATTGAACACTCTGTGATCCTAATGGACCCAGATCTACTGCTGTTTACTAGTGTGCATCGGAGACATCCTGCAACTACTGGGAAACTGACTTCGATGATTTCACTTAAGCCTTGTCAAATGAACTGGCTGCTGCTGCAAAATGTATCTGTTAAGCACCGTTGCTGTGTTTTAGAATACTAGTAGGCGCGATTTTTACTCGATCCGTCCTCTCAGAGATCTGTACTCTGAACCAGTGAAGCCAAATTGATTAGGCAATCAGTGGCATTAGTTGCCTCGATGGGTGATGCGTAAGGCGGAATAATCCCTGTAATCCGACTCAACCGACAAATACCTGGTGTACAATTGATGCTGAAACGTATACAACGGCGCAAAAACACAGTAGCGTCGGCCGTTTGACCGGTAGGTTGATGCCGCATTGTAGACCAACAACAAAAGAATCTTTGCTCAAGTAAAGCGGCGCCTGATGCCTGCACGTAACGGAGCCGTGTTCAAGAGCGTTGAAGGATAGCCCGAAACCTGGTGCACTGAGTGTGCGTCCGCGATTACGTCGCACTTCGCTGCTAATTTGCAAGTGGCCGTAGGCATGTACAGTCATTGTTGCTCATTGCTTATTATTCGTGTTGCTGCATGTACCAAGTTAGTGCTCTGATATAATTATCACTTCCGGATATGCGCCTAAGACAGGGTTATTGAGAGTATATCAATTTTTGTAATAGCTAGTATGTACTTAATTCCCAATGCAGGCCAAGAAACCTGCTCTACTTTGAATGGACCTATCAGTTTGGGACGATCAGTCTGCCAACGGGAATGTCTCAACAATGTCAAATCCATGGATTTTGTTTCCAATATGTCAGAAAAATATTTTACTCACGACGAAAATATAAACCCTGAAGGCTAAAGCAAGGGATTTCACAACCTCAGCAGGAAGTAATGACAATGACGAATGGGAGCAAATATGCTACATTTCAGCAGTATTTATCGAATAACGTCGTACAGTGATTTGTACTAGTTGGTAACTTATACCAAACTAATTTGCCCGAAAACAATAACGCAACCTTGTTGTTAACCTGTGTCATTCCCCCTAGCGAGTGATAAGTGTTTTAAATGTTTGTCAACATAAATGGAAGACCCAAATTTTGGAAGCTCAGAAATAAGCAATTTATGAGTAAGGCCTTTAAACTGTATTTATCGGTGTCAGCGATTTTGCAACGTTTGCGAGCTACATCTTTTATTAAATTGATTTCTGTTATCATGTTGTTGTAATCATCACGGAAAATGTCTACAAAATGTGCAATCATATTTGCGTTTATCCGCATGCACATAAGCTTAAGTTACGCGTTGGAATAAAATTCTTGTTTCAAACTCATGGTCATAACTCATCTACTAAGCTTCGTTTCACTTCATAATGTCAGTATGTGTTCGGTCAAGACATTGAGTAAATTTGGAATTGTTTAGCAAAGTAAGGTGTACATCATCGTAGGCGTTAGTCCACCAGTCCCAAGAGTACCTTCGCTTCGCAAACCTATCTATGGTAATTATTAATGCAAAAATTGCGATTATCTGGCTGCAATCTACTTGTGCCATCAAGCCGCTTTGTTTCCATTTACCGCGCTAGAGAAAGATGAGATTTTATTCCAAATAATTTGCAAAGAACCTGAATGGAATGTAGCCCGGTTATTTAATTTTAGAGAACACCGTTTTGCAAGGACATTATACAAAGGAGTAGTAGGAAGTGTGATAGCTGTCTGAGTGCGTATAGATGTGAAGAAATTCTACCTATATCAATGAGTTGTTACTTGTACATACCGTATGATGGGACACTCTTTCGAATTTGCACCGGTGTGTCGCAGCTTATGCCAGGATACTTCAGCCTGTTAGCCAGTTTGAAGGCTTCTACTTCTAACGATGCATTTACATCCGTCTCGACAGGTGCGAATAAGTTCAATCTTGCAAGGCGTAGCAATCGAGCTGTCTCGTCCTGTTCGGTGAACTCGACGCGACACTTCGTTTTGGTCTGTAAGGAAACAAAAGAAATTGCCGAATCACCCGGTTTACCATCGAACTAATGACAGCTGCGATTAACCGGGTATGGTTACACACATACATAAAATCGCTAAATACTGGATTGCAAACATGATGTTTCCGTGAAGCAAGATATTTGGAGCAGCCTATGCGAAGTTTGAATTATGTCTCAGTTCCATGGAACGTACAACTGACTAAGATTCTCGAAGTACTTTTACCATAAATTGAAATTTTGTCCTGGTCCCATTATTGAAATGACCGCAGACTTCAAAAAATAAAATGCATTTATTCAATTTCGTTTGTTAGCGAACACGAGGCTTAAGCTGCTACATGTGTCGTCTCGACCGGTTCTACTGCCTTTTCCTGCCTGCCACATCGACTTTATTCAGGCATGGTTGGAGAGACCCACTTATAAAACCAGCCAAGAGAAATCTTTTCCTTTCATCGTTTTGTATGTTTCTTCATTCGTATATCTTCCAGTTAAGGTGCGTTACTTCGACTTTTCATTTGCCGAGCCTAAAGAAATGATAAGTAGCTCTAATGGACCCAATGAGTAGTCATTTTGGTTGGCTTCACGTTTAGTCTGCGTACCTCCTTTGCAACTTTTACGAAAGTAGTTGCAGTGATATTCATCAAAAGTCATATTTTGTTTTCTTCCTTATCTAAAGCGGTTTCCGATGGGAAAACACCATTTACTTAAGCAAATCTAGAATGGGACGCACATTTGGCATCCAACGCTTCTCCTGTTATCTTAGATGGCAGGATACTAACCTAAAATTGAAAGCCCAGCTAAATTGGATGGATCCATGTCTAGTGAAGTATAAGGTTTGTAGTAAAGATATTGCTTCCTTGATATTTTTAATTAACCACCTTGCATCGGAATGATTTTTAACAAGTTTCTTTGAACTTGTATGTCTTTTTCAAGCCTATTTTGCGATCTAGCTAACGGTGGTGAGAGTCTAGCTCAACAACACCTTCTTAAATGTTTACAACACATTTAATGCAATATGGACAGAACACCAAATCGCACAATTTTATTTTACCAATGTAAAGTTCGTCGAAATGCAGCGGTAACAGTCTATGGTATCAATTGCGCGTAAGGTGTTGGAACCTCTATTGACCGTACAGCACAACGAGGAGTTCAATAATTTCGATAACTTTACGAGAGCCTTGAAGATTAATAGCGTTTTTATGACCATTGGAATTGGACAACGATCAATTAAGTGTGTTAAATTATGCGGCACGGTTTGCTCTCAAGTTTTGTGAAATAATTTATGTGAAATATTATCGCTGTCTTACTCACGACTTTGTCACAATTGCGACCATCTAGCTGTGCTTTTTGCTAGCATGAATCGGTTGTCTAATATAATCAATCTATGTTGCGGATTAATTTTGATTCGCGCACTCCCAGGTAAAACAAACTCATTGCTTTCCGCAGTTAGATATTTCAGAAAATTAGAAATCCAAATGTTTACCGAATTAAAAGATATGCAGTGAATGCGAATGGATAACATAAAACACCCCCATTCCTCTCGATGGGTAAAAGCATTAGTGAGTGGGGATATTCTGCAAAAAATCTTTATTTCCTATTGGGGACTATTCACTTGAAACCATGATTTATGTCTTTTAATTTAACTAAGAAATAGGTAAAGGTCTGAAAACAGGGGTTCGTTTCGGATTAGGAAAATATCATTAAGATGCCTTAAAACATTAGAAATTAGCCTGTTTGAATACTTACAGTTTCCTAAGTGGTCTACATGTATTAGTATTGTTTCTGCATTTACTCAGGCTGTGGGAACTATTGATACAGAGCTACGCTGTCTTACCACGGCGTACATGGTTATATACTTACGGAACGCTAGTGTCCACAAATTTCACTAAAACGCACTTTGTCTGGAATATTTGGGATGAGCAGGTTAATATGCTGGTGGTATTACCCTGTATTTGAACTGAATTGTATGAGCGCATTCGGGCGAAGCGACCACTTACAACCAGGTGCAGTGGCTCTACATACATGTGACCCTCGCCCATGGAATACATCAAATCGAAATTGAGCTCGAGTTTGTGCATCTGGCTAAATTACAAAGGATGGGACCTGAAGATTGTACAAGTAGTGTTTAAGTTCGGACAAATGTCCAAATTGGAGTTGTAGTGCTGCTATGAAGCCGCCGCAGTTTATCTTCCAAGCGCCGGATCGGAACAATGTATCCTAAGCAAACACGCAAAAGCAGCAATTTAGTCGAATCACTTCCCAGCAACGGTTCGGAAAACGACACTCAGTAAGTCGATCAAATTGGTGAACACACTCCAGCATTGCATACAATGAGAGAAGCAAAGAGGTAATGGTAGGATCCATGGAGTTGACACAAAAGATTTCGTCCCCCCCCCCCCCAAAAAAAATGACCAGAGGCTGATCTTTCGATGCTCGGCACGACATTACCCCCAAAGCATATATCCCCCATCCAGTCCTCCGAACCTTTCATATAGGCACACAAACGTAGGAGGTCTCCTGAACAAGTTTTCCCAACTACGGCTACCTCAAGCACCCTAGCATATTCGTAACTGAGCCTTGGGCGCACTCAGAAATAACCGACTCCGAAGTCGCGATACTGACAGCTGGGCGAGAAAGCTGAGTGCCAAAACTCACGCATTTGCCACCTATCGTGTGTGGGAAAGTTCCTGCGAGCGTGTTAGCAGGACCCAGCCGAGAGCTGATGAAATCGCGCGTCAGACAGCAGGCTTGTCGCCAAGGCCTGACCGGAAGCTGATGAAATCGCGCGTCAGACATCACGCGCGTTGCCGTGCATTGCGTAGGCGGACGAAGACTGGAAAGCGTGAGCAACACGGTGAACTAGATAGATGGAACGGACAAGTATGTGTGGAGCGTGGGCGTATAGTCAAATCCGCATTGTGATACCGACTTATACATATGAGCTTTCTTTGCCTTAATAGAACTCTGGTCTGCTGAGTACTCTTCTGTCTTCCTTCCGTTCGGGTTTGCCAAGGAGTCAATCAGAGCACGCGTAAGGGCGCAGATTTAGCAGCAGGCGTGAATCAACCAGTCGGTCGCTAGCAGGGCATCGTGTTATAACAAATGCACGTTATGTTCCTTCTTTGAAACGATCGCTTCAGCAAGGAAGGTGGGGTACTTGTATATTACCGCAGTGACCTATAGGACGAAACGATGAAAGATCCGGAAACGCTGATCATAGATGTACTCTGGTGCAGTCTGCGACTCAGAGGCACCCATACTTGCCTTGTAGCAGTTGTTTATCATCCCCCAAAGTCTACTCCAGAGTTGGACTTTCGCCGGAGATTAGCCTTAAGGATGGTACAAACTCCCTGTATCCAAAAGAAAGTAACGTTCGAAGAATAATCTATCTAAACAGAGACACTGAGATTTGGGAAAAGCTCTATATTGAATTAAGTATATGCGAATCGCAACCAGTGTTTAAAAGAGAACATTCATACTTCTTCTCGGTGCAATACGTAAAAACAATGTTGTAACTAAGTTGCAATGGAAAATGCTATTTGTGGAGGGGGCCGAGACTTAAGTGCAATGGTTACAAATATACAGAAAATGTGCTTTGTACAGACCAGGCCTACCTGAAGGGGTGAATTGGAAAAAGGTGCAGTTGACAGAACCCCTTTCAATCTTCCTTACCCGACCTTATTTGATTCCTTTCAGGAAAGCTATCTCAGAAACCACTAACAAGTGTGGATTCTAGAGGAATTGCAGACTGACATTGAGCTGAAGATATTCGTCTTCACTATTCCAATTGTGCCTACGCAGTCATGCCTACCTTACATCCATGTCAAAAATTGTGAACTGAAAAGGAAAAGCTCCGTGAAACTATCCATCTTCATTCACTTGTACCATTCGATCTTACCTTACTCATCTATGCTTCCCCAGTTGTCCTCAGGTAAACATGTTAGGAAGCAGGGTAAGGCTAAACGATTCTTGCTTCCAACATTTTTATTCCTATTTCTAATATGTGGCTTCCATTTTTCCTTTCACTTGCTTACACATAGCGTAGAGTCAAACAAAAACAAAATAGCCAGTTAATAATTGCCAACCATTTGCGTTTCAAACAAAACCAACGAATTCCTTCTATCTGTCTCGACCCATATGTACAGCTGTTGAACTGCAAACTAATAACTTCCTCCGTCTTTACTACTTTTTATATCGCCAAAGTGTATATAAAATGCTTAGCCTAAACTAGATGCTATGTTAACTACGTATTATTTCAGCAATATTGTTTTTATAGCACCACAAACTTATCCTCATCCATTAACAAGAGACAACAAACTTGGTTCGGTCCTTACGCGGATATCTGCGTCAGGACGCCATGAAGTATTCTGGGCTATTCATAGCTTTGAACTAGATATCAACGGTAGTTCAAAACACAAAACCTTTCTGCGTAATATTTGTTATATGTTATAAATATTCCATAGAAGCATTGCAAACTTCGATGATGATGAAACTAGCACTCATCGTAGACCCGAGATTATGCGTCATTATTATTCGTATTATTAAGAGGTCAGCCTAGCATTCTCATCAGAACCCGTAAACGCATGGCGGTAAGCTACAGCTTGGCATGTTTGCAGAACGAACGCGAGTCCTGACAACTGGAGCAAGTAAATTGTGCATATTAATCCCAATGCCACAGGTGTCCGTGAAGACGGATGAGCACACCAGCAGATATTAACGGAAAACGTTTGTGCCAACAACATGCTACTGTACAAACATGTAAATAGCCTCCAGAAAGTTAAGTGTGATGTTCTTCCACCCACCTCAGATATGGATGTGTTGCAACCGACGAAGATGCAATCAGCGTCCTGCAGCTACCATGAGGTCCAATGTTCCGACGCGCCATTTGCATGCATCACATATCCGTCCTATTCCTCCAGAGACCAGTATATATCCCCGTCACTTTAGTTTAGCAACCGTTTTGGGGAAACTGCTTTCCTTATGCAGCTGTAGTTCTTTCG